TTTTAAATAATAAATATATTGAAAAATGTGAGATAAAAATATTTATTGCCACAAAACTGGATTTTTTAGAAAACATGGTTATCTCAAAGATCTTTCTTATTAACAGTAAAAAGAAATAATGTGGATAACAATATTAAAAAAATACAAAGAGTTGCAACTCTTTTGAAAAAAAAATATACATCTGGACGCAATTTCCTAATATCATTATTGCGCTCTAAATGTAAAAAATGTGAGGTTTAATTTCACAGAAAAAGAAGAAAAAAACAAAGAATAATGAAAGAAAAAATTGCTTCCTGATGTCAAACCTTCAGTTGATGTAGCAAAATTCTTTTACAGATCAGGCTATTTGATAGTTGATATTTAAATGATACTCGTTAAATACCTGAACTCTTTTTTGATTTACTTTATAACATGATTCTCTTGATCTCATTATTAAACTTTTTAAATGTAAATTCTACTTTTTGTTTGTTAATTTCTTTTCAACCTGTTACACATTTATCTGAGCATTGTGAATAATGTCATGTTCTTATAGTTAATAGGAAGGCTTTTAAATCTTGGATTAACAAGCTATATTTGATAAGTTTTAAGTAAGTAGCATTCACAGTGCTATTTGTCTTAAACTATTAAATAACTTCAGTCATTTATTTTATCAAAAAATCAATATATCCTTTTCAAAAATATAGACTCTGACATTAGAATCCTTTCAAAAAGTATATAGGTATATACTTTTTGTATAGTATAAAAGTATATATATTGTTTCCGCACCTACCATGAGTTTAACAAAAGTTATTATAATGTTAGATTACTCAAAAAATAGAAATGCATTGAAAATGATAATTTTGCAGCCATTAATGTAATACTTTATTTGAAATTATTAAATTAATACATTTAAAATAATTCTCACTCTAAAATTTAAATCAATAATGTACTTATTTTGATCAAACTTTGAAAGCGCAGTTTTCCACTCTTATCGTAAGTGTTTCACATTTATCGTATATATTGTTGACACTATTTTAAGTATATAAATAAAGACTACTAAATAAACATTAATTAAATTTTAATGAATTAAAACCAAAGATTTTAAAGCATTTCCATTACTTTAGTGCATATCCTTTATGTTCTTAAACTGGAAAAGATAGAGTTTCATCGTAATTATCTGAGTCTTATTTTATAATTATTATCAACGTTTTAATGGAACTCGTTTTCTGACTCAGTTTCAAGACTTTCTTTTTCTTTTTCAAAATTTTCTTGTTTTCTCTTTCTTTTTTAGTTCTTTCATTTAATAACTTTTTCTCCATAACCAATTGTTTTTTTCTTAACCTTTCTTCCTCTATTTTTGACTTATTATCTCCAGTTAATTGTTTCTTTCTTAATTTTTCATCCTTTATTTGTGACATTTCTTGCACTTTTGTCTTCTGAATTTGCTGCCATGTTTCAGATGTTACAACAGATGGTAAACGTTTTATTTTGCATAAAGACATTTGGACTGGTTGTTTTGGTCATAAAAATTTTTTTTAATCTTAATTAGATTTATGATTTCTGCTGCTATTTTTAAACTGAAACAAGCTGTTTTTGGTTCTATTACCACTGCAATCAGGCATTTCCATATCGGTTATAACTTGCACATTTTCTAAATTACAAGTTGTTGATAGATTTTTATTACTCTGTTGTATTTCCGCAGGTAAAGTTATGGTCTTATATGTTTCAGATAATGCTCTTTTCCAAAAATGATACAACAGGAGGTATTCAAGATCACCTTTCCAACCTAAATGTTTGTCTGCCATTTTAAACTGCTCTTAAATACTTGGATCAATGCACTTTTTAATAAAGATTATGGGAGAGGAAGCTGATTAAGTCACACTTGAATGGTTCTCTTCTAAATAAGGAGTCAGAGCAGTGTAAACTCAGATAATTTTTAAACTATTTTTGTGTAGTCAACACTATTAGCATCAAATGGAAATATTCTGGTATCTTTAAAACCATTTTTAATATTATTTGCCATTGAAGGGTTGATTATAAATGATTGTAATGCTTCTGGTAAACTCTCATTGTTTATTTCCTTCATGGTCAATGCGTCATTGTCGGCAAAAAAGATTTCCACTTTGCTTTCATTGGCCCAAAAACTGCCACATCAAGCAGCTGCAAAATATGTGTTGCAATTGGAAACGAAACAACAAGAATTATTATATTTTTAGAGCAAAACTCACTAAGTTCGATAGAAAAATGCGATGCATAACCATAAAAAAAAAATAACTGGTAAAGGAATTTCTTTTTTTTTTTTTATCAAAAATGGATAAAAAATGTTTGTAATATACTCAAAAAAACATTCTGCGGTCATTTTCAATTTTTCCATTACCCCATACTGACCCATCAAGCACACATACGTTGTTAAAACATAACAATGTCACGCGTTTCGTTGGCCCAACATCGGCTGCCAACGTTGTTTTTATATCATACGTTATTTTATACGTTGCTCCAACGTTATATTTAGGTTGATTCAACGTTGAACTTTAATTGGCAAAACGTTGTATTCAATACTATTCGGAATTAAATTTTCATTACATTCTATTATCTTTATTTATATATATATATATATATATATTTTATTTTACTTCACCTCCTCAAGGCCGAGAAGGCCACTACAAACGAGGAGGCTACTTATTTTGTGGCTATAACCCTCTCTCAACTCTATAACTCCGAAACACGAACCTTGACGAACAAGGCCGCTGCGCGGAGAAACGAAACATTATATTATATAGTTTATATATATATATATATACATATATATATATATATATATATATATATATATATATATATATATATATATATATATATATATATATATATATGTATATGTATATGTATATATATGTATGTATGTTTGTATGTGTGTATAAATACAGCTGACGTAACCAATATATATACATGCATAAATATGTTAACGCTTGATCATCGGAACAAAAATCGAGTTTATATTGATTGTGGTTCGATATTTTAATAATCACCAAAGATTTTATTTAAGTTATATAATTTTGCAATAGCAATGTTTGGTCGCATACATTGGATCAACGTTGGGTTTAGTTCGTAAAAGCAATCAACTTTTTGCGATGTATTTACATACATAGGATCAACGTTGATTTATATACATTAAATCAACGTCGAAATTTATAAATTGGATTAACGTTGGGTTTACATAGTAAAAACAATAAAAATTTTTCATTGTTTTTCATACATTGGAAAAACGTTGATTTATATACCTTTAATCAACGTCGAATTATATACATTGGATCAACATTGGGTTTAGGTCGTAAAAACAATCAACTTTTTGCGATGTTTTTACATATATTGGACCAATGTAAATTTGCCAGATGTTTTTAATTCCATCGGTAATAATTTTATCATTAACCAAATGACATTGGATCAACGCTGGTGTTGCATCGGAAAAAGAGCCAATGTTCGCGATGGTTTTACATACGTTAGCCCAATGTAAGTGTGCTAGATGGGGATGGAGCAGCATTTATAATTCTATTTTGAAGACAAACATATTTAAAATTTGTTTATAATGGAGCAAAAGTTCCCCTGGCATTTACTGCAAATAAAGTGGTGACAATCTTCTGTAACAGATTGGGTCTTGTAGTGGCTTGTAAATTTCAACTCAAACAAAATTTAGTAATTTGCTGCAAACCACTCTCACAATATTGTCAACATTCCTATATTAATAAATAGCAACTTTATTACTGAGTCTTCTTCTTTACATATTCTTGATTATCATTCATTAGTGACTTCTCCTGGAAACCATAATCGATTGCAAAGTTAGCATATCAGATGCTAACTTTGATAACTTTTTTTTGTTGCTAAATTTAAGATGATAATTCTATACTTGTACTTGTTGCCATATTTGGCCTGGTTCTTCTAATCATGGTCTTTCTCTTCTAGACAAGATTCAAACAAGCATTTTAAATGTAGTTAGAGCTGCTTTATTTGCCAAACTTAGGTTGCAATCTCATCTTCGTAAATTTGCATCTCTTTCTCTTAAACAGTCATGGTAGCTGATCAAAAGAGCTATCATTTCTAGTTCCAACGGTCACCCTATCCATCTATATGTTTTTGATATTCTTACAACCTTTAAATTTTGTTTCCTTGCTCTTTACATTATTCTTTGTTTTCTAGTAACTCCAAACTTAACAGTGGTTACTTGTAGTCTTGTTGGGAGTGAGTTAGTATTTAAAAAAAAAAAGTATAAAAAGTATAATATATATATATATATATATATATATATATATATATATATATATATATATATATATATATATATATATATATATATATATATATATTAACTTATAATCTTTACTGATCAAAATAAATATGCTTTGTTTTAAACTTTTGTTATAAAATTTGACAAAACTGATCAATATGTAGTTTCAGAATATAAATTTATTGTTGTAAATTGCTTGGTCAAACAGACATTTTCATTTAAAAATTTGTGGAGAGTTTTAAATTTGTGGAGGGTATTATAAAAATTGCCCCTTGATTCGATCATTATTTCTTATTAAAACTTAATAAGACTTAATTTAAGTCGAATTATAATATTTACAATAATTATAATACTTCGTTGTTAAAACTTTAAAAAAAAACTAATATTTTATTTATTACTGTAATTTTCATGTTTTTGAGATAGAGAGAGAAATTTCCTGTAATAATAAATACAATTTTTTTATAGTTGTTTTCAATTGAATTTAAAAAAACGATTTCTTAATTTATTGCGTATTTTAAATTATCAGGTCAAGTTTATACTTCTTCAAAGCCGTTTTTTTTTTTTTTTTTTGGTAATAAAAGAACATATTTTAAGCACAACAAAAAGAACAGACATATGCAAAGTGATAGGGAAAATATTTACACACAATTTTAACTAAATTTATTATTTTGCTACTTTAACAGTAAATATTGAAGAAATAAAACTGATTTTATTTTATATTTAAAGTATTATATTTTACCTTTCCGGCTGTTTCGAGAAATCAGTTACAATACATGTGCGCACGACTTGATGTTTTTCAAGGCCTCGCTAACTCAAATAATATATCAAACCACAACTGTTTTTGTTTACAATCATTGTATTGACTATTTATTATTATTAAATTTTAATCACTAATTTGACTATTTACAAACTATATTTAATTTATGCTATGAACTGATATATTGTAAAACTTTAATATTTACCGTTATTGCACCTCCTAACATCGAGTGCAATCCTGTCCGCATTCTCTATGCTGTCTTTCTAACACGACTACTTCTGTCTTTCACTCTAATATATCTTCGTTCTTCCTAAACTCACTTTACTCTTGGTCCGTAGAGCGGGTTATGACGCTCCTTGGGTAGCCGAACCTGTCTTTGCGGGCCTTGGTAATGTGGCCTCTATATGGCAATTAGCCGGAGAAGGATAAACCACATTACCAAACTATATTTAATTTTTTTCTTAAAAGAATTGTTTTATTTCTATACCAGGATTACGATTAAGTCGGAAAAATCTTGTTTTTATTGTTTGTTTGTTTTCTCTAATATTTTAAATAAGAAGACTTAAAAAACTTTATTTTACAAAAAACTTAATAAATCTAGATAAGAGAAAGAAAGAGTAAGAGATGCATTTTATCGGCTTAAAAGGCTAATTAGGTACGAGTTTCATTATTGTAAACCTATATAAGCGTGAAGCAATGCAAAAATATCTACATAAGGAATCGTCCACAAATTACGCAACGCTTATTTTAAAAATATAAGTAGGAGCTTATTTTAAAAATATAAGTAGGAGAACATTTTGCTCTTTTGAGCGGCGGCTTTCGCTGGACTTAAATGTTTATTTATACATGGATTAATTAAAGACTCTCGAGGGAAAACTTTTAACACTTTTTCTTTTGTCTATTAGTTAAATTTCGCGTTACGTAATTTATGGACGATCCCTAACTGCAAGCTGGTTTATGCGCTAAAAAGCGGAAGTACGAACTTCATGAACGTTATCAACAAATTTTTTATGCTGAAAGTTAAGTTCATACAACTAACAGCAAAGTACATCTACTATTTGCATTTAGTGGAGAAGACTATATTTTCTTTTTATTTTCAAGTTTTTTTTTTTTAATTTTATTTAATATTCTATTATTTTGAAGGTGTAGCATTGTATATGCCAGTTTACACATATGCTTATTTGCACGTTGGTTTTCGTAACTGCTTTGTATTTATGAAAACTCGCACTTTTTCTGTTTGCAAAATCTTTTTACGCATATCTTTTACATTTATGATAGTTAGAAGTTCTTTGGTGCATTTATGCTAGCATGTACTTACGCCGATGAACTATTTTATACTTAGTAGAATAAGTGCACAATACATTCTGTTGATGTTGCTACAGGTCCTAAAAACTGCGATTCAATGCCAATAATTATAATTTAAAATAAAATAAAAAGAATAAGGTGTTCTTTCTTTTATTTTTAAAATATTATAAAAAAAGCCGATTTATTATGTATTTATAATGATTACACCTTTTTTCAGAACCAGAGACTTAAAATAAGTGTTAATTGGTTTCGAAAATAATATTACTTTTTATAAGAAAATGATCTTAAAAAAACTATTCTAATTGTCTCAAAAAATTAGATTGGGATATTTATATATATTTATATATCTTTATCGAAAATAGGATTATTTCCAAGAATAATTATGCTGGAACCGAAATTTTTGCGAACAAACAATTTTTAGGGAATTATCACTAAATATAACCGAGACGAAATATACTTCTTTTTATCGTTTTCATGATCGAGATAAAATTCCTTTAAGACTTTTTATTTTTTTTTATTTTTTGTTCTTTAACCTTTAAAAATTTGTAATATATAATATAATCGTTCACAGAGTATAGTAAAATTAAAAAAAAAAAAAAAACTTCCAAAACTCTGTACTGACAATCAAGACGTAAAAAGAGAAATCATTTTGAAACTTCACGGTGTTCTGCTTGATGAAAATGTGACGTGGAGAGATCACATACATTATCTTAAAAGTAAAATCTCTAAGAACTTCGGTCTGATTTGTAGAGTAAAACCTTTTTTAAATCCATATTGCTTAAAATTTTTATATTTTTCTTTCATTCATTGTCATCTAAATTATGCAAACATTGCTTAGTGTAGTACAAATAAAAATAAAATTAAAAAACTTTTTAACAAACAAAAACATGCAATCAGAATCATATCCAATGTGGGACGTTTTACACATTCCCAAGCATTGTTTATTAAGCTAAATATAATGGATACCTACCAATTAAACTTTTATCATCTTCTTATATTTATGTTCAAAATTAAAAAAATTTATCTCTTATTTTACAAATTATTTTGCGGCTACTAAATTTTCAATTTCTACTAGAGGACCAAAAGTATGGAATAAAATATTAACTAATGATCTTAAAACAGTTGCAATGCTTAATGACTTGAAGACCAAATTGAAGCAAAGACGGTTGATGAGCAACGTAGCGCATGCTTTTTTCTGATATATATGTAAAGGTGTATACTGGTTTAAATGGAAAGTTTCAGGATTATGAGTATTTGCGTGCATGCTTTTTAAGTATATAATTTTTTGCTATACTATAGTATTTGCTTTTACTTTGTGTTTTTTTTTTTTTTTTTATTTATTTTTATTTAGTTGCCCCAAGAAGTCCTTACGGATTTATCACAGAGCACCGCGGATGAGCATTTAATTGGAAGTTCAAGCCTCCTTTCTAACCAATGTAGCTAAACTTGCCCAGAGGTGGGTTTTGAACCTTAGATCTTTTGTTTCTGAGGCAAGTGCGTTACCACTGCGCCACGGCTTTAATTTTTATCCTTTTGTAATATTAAAATAAGAAAAAAAGAAGATTTTCATTGTTAGAGAGCGGCATTCAGGACCTATGAATTTTATCTTTTTGTTTGTTTGTTGTTTGTTTCTTATAAATATAAAAAGTCTATAAAACAATATTTTATATGCTGTAGTGCTGTAGTTTTACGATTTTTATATTTTATTATTGTGTATTACGGTATAGATGAAGGGGCTTGGCGATAAGACAAATGTCTTCTTCTTGTCCCTGCTATTTGTATTTACATATGTTTTATGCTATAAATAAATTTATTTGGCAAAAAAATTAAAATAAATAAAGGGATTACTACTCACCCAGTTAAATATTTGGGCACCCGAATTTTTTCTTAAAAACACAGAGATTTCCCAGTAAGCACAGAACGTTTTTAAAACGTTTAAAAAACCAATGAAAACGGTTTTTAACGTTTTTTAAACGTTTTTTAAACGATCTGTGCTTACTGGGTTAAAAAAGTGCTCATATCACCTAGACCACATTATAATATGAGCACTTTAAATTAGCTCAAAAAAAAAAGATAAAGTATTTGTGAAATATAATGATTTTATTTTACCAATTATAATTAAAAGACCAAGTTTACTTTTAATTGAAACAATAAAACTTTGTTAAACGCAAAAAAAAAAATTATTCCTTATTTTTTCAATTTTAGTAACTCAAATTTTTAAACGATAAAAATAGAAGCTTTTTGAATTTAAGTTTAAAGAAAGATATTTAGTATTGATAAAGTATTAAAAACTTTTACTATATTTTGCTTTTATTCAAAAAGCAATTACAAACATTGCAACTTTATGACTTTAAACTAGTTAATTTCAATGAAAAACACTGGGTAATTTGAGCACACCTTACATGATAATGGTGTTTTTTAATGAAGTCAAAATCGATGTTTTTCTGCATTTTTTTTCAAAACAAAAATGAAACGGATTTTTAGGTAATACTTTTTTTTATAAAAAAATGAATATCTATATTTCAACATCAAAATTTTGCTCTACCGATTCTTTCATGTGTAATGACAAATGCTATTCAATTTCAAACAAAAAATTGAATAGCGTTTTAATTAGATGAGTCGCTATATACTGCGTATAAATTAATTATATTGCTTTCTATAATCACCATACTAAGTCAATTCAAAAAATAGAAAGCAATTTGAACTTCACTATTCACATATTAGTAATCTTTTGGTACCCTCATGCATGCTCACGCTCAAATAAACATCTGCTTATTTTTATACTAAAAAAGGGACCTCATTTAAGAGTTGATAATGCCTCTTGACGGAAAATTTCAGGTTTTTTGGAGGTGGAAGCAGTTGGTATCTGCCTCTCAAATGTTTTTTGGCGGAAAAATGTTCTGACTTTATCTTATATGCTTGTCAAAGTTTTTTTTGGTGGAAAAGTGTTCTGGCTTACACCTCTCAATTGACGATGAAATCCAGTTGCTTCCGCCTCCCAATTGGTGGTCGCCGCAAGAATTTTTTTTGGCTGCAGTCTCCAAAAGATATTTTGAGGCAAGATTATTTGGAAGCCGCCAACAGTTGCCTCTAGTTATCTCCCGACTAGTTGAGGAGGAAGAAACTCTTTCTTTCGATTCTTTTGATTGTTATGTTGTCTTTTTTTTACTTACATACTTTAACACAGTTTTAAAAAATTTATCGTAAACTTTTTTTTCACGCAATTTTTTACTGATTTCAATCATCACAACATCGTAATTCTTTAGTTTCATGACCCGAACGAGTCGTCACTTTTTTTGTTTTACATTATATAAGTAATGCCTTTGTTTATATATTTCGGGGTTTTTTTTGCTTAAAAAATTATAGGAGGAATTTTTGACTTCCTGCCACCAGAAAAAATAATTAACGTTTGTTTTTTAATTAACAAGCATTTTTTAAAATATAATATAAGTGTAAATATTGACAATTTGACAAGTTGCGTGTTTTATTTAATTTATTTTCAAATTTTGAGTATTTAAACAAAATTTTGGTCAAAACTTTTTTTCCCCTATAACTATTGAATAAATTAGTAGTTATACGAATAAATTAGTAATTTTATATTCAAAACAAATGGTAAAAATGGAAAACTTACATCATAAACAAAAAAATAATTTCGAGGAAGAAAATTTATAAGTTTTAGGCTGTCCGTTTTTGAATAAAACTTTTGAACA